TATAAAAGAAATTCTTTAGACAGATGAATGTTAGTTTACTACAACTGGCATTACGAACTTGCATAATAATAATTCAGAAGACAAACAACAAAAAATGAGGCACAAAGTATTTGAAAACTCTGAATAATTGCATTGTCTTTTACTGTAAGATAAACAAATACATTTCTTTTAATGTAATAGGAGGAGTTTCATATTTTCATTATTTTTTTAATTTTAAAATGTTGTAAACATATGTAGTTGAAAAATGGAATAATTTTTTGCTCATAAAACAGTATAAAATGTGTCTTTTTTCTGACAAAATTAAGCAGTGGAATTATTTTTATTTTCTTAAATACATTTGCATTTGAAGTAAAATCAATAAGTATTATTAAGTTTTAATTGTATAGATTCTAAAATGAAAGATTAACCGTGTGTTTATATTTACTGTGTTAAAAGTAACTAAAAACTATTTTTTAGGTTAAAGAAATTGCATAATCTATTACCCTTCAATTAAAGTTATACTAAGAAAAAGTTTCTTTCTTTATTACTCGTCTGGTAATAAGATACTCTTTTGGCACTTAAAAGCTTGTGATGAAACCATTTCAAATTCTAATAAGGAAAATCAAATCGATACTTTAAAGAAAGTTCATCTGTTTAGCATCAGAGCCATGCTATCAGATTTTAATCCTTGAAACAATTCTCATAATTGCTTTTCCTTTTGCCTTTCAAATCCTTATTTATGCAGCATTTGTGTCCCATTACTGGCAAGTGCGTGACTCGCCCAAAAACAGTATGGCTCAGTGTTGCACAGATTCATCTAGATTAAATTAACACCTTTTTAAAGGTATGCATTGTAAAATATATTTTCAGATTACTTAAATCAAAGAAAAAACTGAAATCATGTAAGAAATGAAATTAATTTCGGATAATGTAGAAACAATAAATAATCTGCCTAACTAGAAAGTTGGATGTCTTGTTTTGGGTAATTGGAACTTTTCTCGGGTTTCATATTTATGTTAAGCGAGAAGATTAGCGTGAAGTACGTATCTCATGTTACCTCAGAACTTACTTCAAAATATATTTTTCAGAATTTTCACCTTTGGTCTTTAAAATGATATTAAAATAATTCCAAATGCCCAAGCTAAGAAAAAATGGTTTTATTTTCATTTTATAATTGCAGAAATGTGTGGATACCAAAGAATCTTCCTTAATTTTCTCGCACTACAAAATTCATGCATCTTGTGTTCATGCATCACTAGTACAAAATTCATGCATCTTGTGTTCATCATTCATGCATCAGGTGTTTTTCTTGACACTAATCATTTCATTCTTAATGATTTATAGTCTGTAATGTTTTAGTACCTCAAAAAAAGTGCTGGCAGCGAGCCTTCTCCCCTATCCCCCATTTTCTTCTTTTTTTCTGTGTGGGGAGGAGACTACACAATGTGATTTTAAAGGGCCTAATACAGTCAAAAGTCGTTAATTCGGACATCCATAATCCGGACCTCAAAGCTAAAAACTTTCTGCGCACGCGCCGCATTGACACATGCGCGTAGGCATTTATGCATGCGCGTAAGACTTTTACGACTGCATATACGTGTGTGCGCAAATGCAGAATACGTTTTTGCATGCGTGTTTAATGTATAATAGAGTAATACGGTATAATAGTACGGTATAAGCTAAAATTATCTATTTCAGTTAATGTTGATGATTGCGTTGTTCCTTAATCTTCGAAGTGGATCCGACGTATTATTTTTTGCAGACTGTAAGAGCAATTTTATAAAAGTAAACTTGAACTTTCGATTATGTCAAACAGAATTTCTGATGCTGGAGCTCCCAAAGGATCTACAAAACGAAAGTATGTTTCGATGTCCATCAAACAAAAAGTGGAATTGCTGCAAAAATTGGATAAAGACATGAAGAAGGTGACAGAGAGGTTAGTGAAAACGAAAAAATTTCGATTGACAAGTTAGTCGGTATTTTCGACACAGCAATTACAGGACTTGAACAGTGGAACTGAACAAGAAATTATGTCTGTTTATAGAATTAAAGAGAAAGTATTATCACATGAAACGAAGCAACTTAAACAACTTACATTGAAAGAAATGTTTAATAAAGTAAAAACAAATAAATATTAAGGTTTTTTTTTTTTTTTTTTTTTTTTTTTTTTTTTTAAATTTTGGTACCCTTTAGATCATAATTGTTCTTTATTTCATAAATTACGGTTTCATATTTTTAATTTTAGAATTTCTGCATGCCATCTTACGAGTTTTAAATCGATAATCCGGAATCGCGAAGTCCCAACGAGTCCGGATTAACGACTTTTGACTGTACTCTTTCATAGCATCACTCATAGGACTTGCCTCCTTGATAGTACTATCATTGATCATGCTATCAGACATTTACATTGGCATTGTCCATTTGGTTTCATTTCAAGTTCCGTTTTTGATACTGTGTGGTGCAGTATTGCTGTTTTCTTTCAAACACTCACAAGTTTATCATCTTCAAGTATTAGTATGAAAGACTTTTTTTAGTAAAGGGTGTAATGATTTGATATTTTGCAAAACAGATAATTGATTATTCTGTGTATCTCGAGGAAAGTGCATCAAGCATTTTAAAATATATTATATATTTTTAAATACAGTCAAAAGTCGTTAATCCGGACTCGTCGGGTCTTCGACGATTCCGGATTATCGATTTTTCCAGATTATAGATCATCAGTTTAAATCTGGTAAGATGGCATGCAGAAATTATAAAATTAAAAATATGAAACCGTAATTTATGAAATAAAGAACAATTATGATCTAAAGAGTATCAAAATTTACACAAAAAAAAAAGCTTAATATTTATTTGTTTACTTTACTTTCCTCGCTATCGGAAGCGAATTATAATGACGAGGGAATTTGATTTAAATCATATCAAAGACAGGAGTACATCGATATAAAATACTACATTTAGTAAGGAATTATAAGCCAAATAAAATAAAAACATCTGCCCTGAAGATAAGGATAGTTATGAAAACTTCCATGTAGCTGGCCCCTGACAGATCAACTTTCCAATTCATTGCGCGCCCCACAGCGGCGTCCCCCCGCCACAGAGCAGCGTGAAATTGATAAACAGATTTCGGAATGGTTAGATAAACAAAGGATATGCCTTTATCCATTTTTTGCAGCTATTCCACTTTTTGTTTAATGGACTTGGAAACATACTTTCGCTTTGTAGATCCTTTACATAATAGTAAATATATATCGGAAATTCTATTTGACATAATCGAAAGTTCAAGCTTACTTTTATAAATTTGCTCTAACAGTCTGCAAAAAATAATAAGCCGGATCCAATTCGAAGATTAAGGAATAACGCAATCTGCAACATTAAGTGAATTAGATAATTTTAGCTTAGCTTATACCGTCCATTATACATTAAACGCGCATGCGTAAACGTATTTTGGGCATGCGCACATGCATATTCGCAGCCATAAAGGTCTTGCACGCATGTGTCAACGCGACGCATGCGCAGAAAGTTTGTAGCTTTGAGGTCCGTATTATGGGTGTCCGAATTAACGACTTTTGACTGTGTTATTTTAAATAACATATATGTGTGTGTGATGAAAAAGATGCATTAATGTCGATGACATAGAACGTAGATCCATATTGAAGAGGAAATTTGGCAGGCAAGTAACATTAAATATTCAACTGACATATGCAGCTATAATTTACTTGGCATTCTAATTGTGTGTATTAAATTACATTTACATTTTTGGTACTGTTGTGATAAGAAAAGAGCAGAGCTAAATATCCTCTTAACAGGAAGAGAGGTAGAGGCTAAAGTGCATAATTATCCAATATGCAAGCTCACCAAGAGAAGGCTTTGGTTTAGGTTGCTAATTAAGAGAAATGTTTCAGTTCTCAAAGTTTTGAGTTCACATTTCGAACTAGCTACGTCATCAGCATTATGCAAGCCATACAAAAGGGATTGATCTAGAAATGACACAATCCAGAAAAAGGCATTACTATTTTTAAAGTAAAGAGGAGGAATTGAGAGGCTATTGCTAGTTTAAATTATAATTTTGATTTACATAATTTTTATCTTGTAATTTTGATTTACATATTATATATAGAGAAATATAATTTTCCATTCTTTTTATATGTAATATATATATATATATATATATATAAATTCAAAATAAAGTAATTAAAACTAAATTAAAAAGCCTATGACTTGCGTTAAAGCTGCAAAGCAATAAACTAATAATTTATAAGAAAACTTTCCATATATCATCTCCAAAGAACACAAATTCAATTTAAAACTATGAATGAAAAAAATATTACACTGTTTGACTATTTTACTACGGACTGCCTCAGCTGCCAAAGCATAGGCAGCTGAGGAAGATGGTTCGTTAGTAAAGCCATTGAAACTAGTCCTGGAAAATTTGCAAATATAATGCTGATTTTTATTGTTTCACTTCTAAATTAATCGCTATTCGGCGTGTTATTTTAACCTAAATTCAATCTCTCTTAAAACATAGATAACCGTAAGTATGTTTTTATAGACTTTAGTATTGAAGCATCTCTCTGTGAGGTAAAATCAAGCCTTAATGTACTTTCTGAAGTTAGTATCATTATAAAAGTACTATACTTTCTAAAGAAAATAACAGCTGCAAGCCTGAATTAAAAGATTTAGATCACAACTGTAATGCAGTTGAGGACTTAAATAATAATGTCACACTCACAGCCGGGAATGTTAAAAGTAAATTTGAAAACTCAACCAAAAATGTCAACTTCAATCATCCAGCATACTGGCCAAATCAATAATAGATAAAAATGATGACATCATTATGAATTTTTAATTATTTGTGTCATTGAAACATATGTATATCAATATTATTATTATTATTTTTAATTAGAAAGAAATGTTTGCTACTTGTATTCATTTATTATTATTCTGTGTATATGTTTAATGCTTGAAAAATGTTTAAATAATGTATCTTTGTATTAATAGTATTAACTAATATGCTTCATTAGGCATTTTGCTGTGCTAGGACCAGATGACACCCCTTACAAAGGTATGTATAAACTAAATAAATTTATTTAGTTATCATTTAGTACAAATTAAATATATTAACGTAGAATATTCTGCGATTCATAGGTGGTGTTTATCATGGTAAACTTGTCTTTCCTGGAGAATTTCCCTTTAAACCACCAAGTATCTACATGATCACCCCTAATGGTAGGTTCAGGTGCAACACACGTCTTTGTCTGAGCATCAGTGATTTTCATCCTGATACATGGAATCCTGCATGGTCTGTAGCTACTATACTAACTGGTCTTCTGAGCTTTATGGTAAATATCAAGTTTGACTCCAAAATGAAACTGAATGCATAGGTAATAATATTATTTTTGAACAGTATTCTTATACAGAGCTTTTTTCTTGTGTTTTAGGTTGAAAAAAATCCAACTTTAGGAAGTATTGAAACATCTGATTATGAGGTAAGTCTTCTGTTGTGACATATTAAAAGTCCCATATTTTTGTCCTGAATCATTCAAACTAAGCATTTTTTCAAAAAAAAAGTAGACGGAAAAAAATTATATCTTAATCAAGAGATAATAAACAAAAACTGAATCCTACACAGTAGGATTTAATTTTAGTTTATTTTATCTTGATTATTTACTTGATTTTGAAATATTTTGCATGACTAATGGCTAATAATTATTAATATTTCCAAATTCCTTATCTGAAATATGTATTTGTGTATTGAAATGCTATGATACATATATATTATATAGCATAGTGTATGTGTGTGTGTATATATATATATATATATATATAATCAAGATATAATAATTAAATCAAAATTGGTGGCTAATAAAAGAAATACATCAGAACTGAAACAAAAATAAAACTCTGTAAAAACCATAATAATAATATAACAAATTGTTGAAAATCATTTGGTCTTTTTCAAGGAGCAGCCAAAAAAAATTTTAACAAAACCATGTTTCTGAATTCACAGAGATTATTCATGAAATAATTCAAGTGTTAATTCTGAATGAAAATAAACTGAATTAATTAAAAATAATAATGTAAGGTCATGAAACTTTTTTTTATAATACTATAATACAATGAAATAAAAATATAAATTTTTTCTAATAATTCATTATAATATAATCCACTTCAGTATGACCCTAAACAAGTGTACTGTAAAAAATGAAACAGTAAAAATTCGAAAATTCTGAGTTACAAATTGGAGAAAAAGTTGTGCAAATTAATATTCAGTTAATAAATGTAAAATCAAACAATTGGCAAAACTGCTAAACAACTGTTGCAAAACAAAAGTAATTAATTTTTTTAATTAAAATGTAAGTTAATGAAACCAAATTATTTAAAAAGGTAATTTACCTAAACGTAAAGCAGAAAAAAAAACTCAGCTAATTCTTGTTTAAAAAAGTTTTCCATATTGAAGGAATAGAAGAAAAACATAGTAAGCCTAAATTTGGGGGATAATTCCAAAGGCAATTAGCTCAGTTTTTTTGGGGTGGGGAATAATTAAGTAAGTAAATAAAAATGCAATTTAAAAAAAAAATGAAGGCTTTATAATTTTACATTATGCTATTAAGGGATTCAACCCCCCCCCATTTAAGAGATTTTTTTTAACCTTTTGTGTGTTCCCTTTAATTATTAAATATCATGTTCTTTGCGCTTTAACCATAAAATTCAGTTTAACAGCAACAATATCACAAAATAATTTTAAAATGAGCATATCATTAGAATTTCCGATACAGTGTCTTGCGTGCTGGAGATATCTTTTTTTCCTGTACAGTGTTGCCATTGCTTGCTTTGAAATTGTTGAGTTTGTTAACCAAAGATTCATTAAAGTGTTACAAAATATGAAATTGATAATAAAACAAATTCCGAATTAGGGCTTCCAAATACTCATATTCGGTGGAAGATTACATTATGCAAAATTTGATGGCTCTAGGTACTGTTGTTTTATCACAATGCGAGAAACGTAAATTTATGCAGATTCTTTATTATTTAATTTCTTTAAATATAACACAGGGCAATAATATGTAGTGGCAACAATTTGTAAAGTGAACTGACATTTATAGTGAATCAATGCAAAATGCCGAAACGAAATTAATAACCCTTCCGGGCTAATTCCCTTTGGGCTAATAAATAGACGTGACCGTCTACAGATAATATTGTGAAAATTTGAACAGTAAAAATTAGAAAATTCTAAATTAGAAGCCATATAAATAACGGGACAAATTAATATTCAGTTGATAAACATAAATAGGTGAAGATCTTTTTACGGTAACTTTTCCCTTTTGTTTTGACAGTTTTTCTTCTCATCATTCAATGCAAATACTTTTCACTTTTAATTAATAAAATTTAAGGTTAAAATTAAATACTATCATTAAATGTTCCATTTTTTTCTCTTTTCTACAATATAAATTTAACTAGCAATCACTTACTTCAAAATTTTAAAAACAGTATAATTTTCACACATAATTTAAATCAAATTTAGTTTCTTATATTAATTCATTTTAATTTTTCAGTTAAACAATTTAATTTCTGTACTTACATTTTTAAAAGTTCAGTCATTATGATTTCCTTATCGACCTTTTTCTTTCTTGCAAATTACATTTGTACAACCCAACTCAGTTCTGGAATTTTTATTTTCTATCTTATCTAATTACCACCTTTTAACTCAGTTGTTTCATATCTCACAGTCTTATAGATTTTGTTCCCAGGATTTCAAGAGAAAATATTCATACAGTTTATTTTCTTTTTACTGTTCCATTCCATTTACAGTATTACCTCCCAATAAGGGGCACCCACCAGACATTTTGTCCCATAAATAGAGGTGTACATACTAAAATAAACGTAATTTAATTTGAAATTCACATTTATCAAGCTTTACATGAATGATATATAAATAAGTAACTTAGTCACAAGTATTTGTTTGAAGTTAATAAAAAAATTTAAATCCTTAATTTAAAAAGCTTAATTATTGCAAAAAAATGGATGAAATCAGTGGCAACAGTGGATGGAAATTTTGTACTTACAGAAATTTATTGAAAAAAAAATCTATTATGCAGGTTTGTTTGGAAATCTGTATTGCAAACGCTTTTACCATGTGCATATTAAAATCGCTGATGATCTGAAGTCCTTTCCTGTTACCAACAGTATCATGAATCTTTTTTTTAATTGGGAGATGTACTTTAAGGCATTTGTGTAGTTTTCTGTCACACCTTTTGTGTGGCTTTTCTTTGTCTTCCTCACTGCTTTCCCAACTATTTTTTAAAGCTCACATCATCAACTGCAGTTGAAATAAGAGATTTTATCTCATTATTGGTATCTTCAGCACACAAGTTTTCATCAGTTTCTAAATATTCTAGCATTTGAGCACTGCCACTGATTTTGACAAATTCAAACAATTCATTTTCATTAGTAGCATTTTCACCAAGGATGTTCTAAAGTGGAAAGTCTGCTCTTAAAACAGTGCTGAACACAACTTTGTGATACCTTTGTTTTCCACTAAAGGGCATTCTGTATGTTGACATATTTTGTGAGCTGATCGTTGTTTCATCCAGCAGCTTGACAAAAAACATGCCATAAAAACAGTTTTCTGTAATGAATGTTGAAACTTCTAATTATACCTTGGTCCAAAGGCTGTAATACTGATGTAGCATTAGGTGAGAAAAACACCGATTTCACAAATTTCAATTTTAAATTTGGTGAGTGGGCTGGTGAATTGTCAAGAAATAGCAGAATCTTTCTGTTTTTTCTAGACATTGTTTCATCAAGAGCAGTCAACCATTGTGACATTATGCTTTATTTCATTATGATCCCAATGGATCCATAAAGGTTTTGGAATGAGGTGTTTAAAGGATATTTGTTTTTTGGCTTTTCAATTACAAATGGTTGCTCAAACTCTCCTTAAATGTTAAAAGAAAGTAGGACACTGAGATGTTCCTTGGAACTTTTACCACCGCAGGTTTTTTTTTTTTTTTTTCCTTCTTTGAAATATGGTTTTATTAGACAAAATTCGATAAAATAATTCAGTTTCATTGTTGATATATTTAGCTTCATATCTTTCATGAATTTTATTTAGCTTTTTTTATCCTGTCTTTTACATGTTGCATGTCTACTGGTTTTTCTTCAAATAGTCTTAAAAATATCATTATGTCTTTTCTTACTCTCTAACCTAGGGGTCTTCAACCAGTGGCTCGCTAAAGGCATTTTAGTAGCCCCGCATTTCAATTTGAAGAAAAATTTGAGTTTTAAAAAATTTTGATTTCAAGACAAATTGCATTGTCAGATATTTGTTGTAAAAAAAAAATCATTTTCTCTTATTCTTGATATTTAAAACATTTTATTGACATGCCTGAAATTGAGATAAAATTTTCTAAAAATAATGATTTTTAGAATTTTCTAAAAATCATTATTTTTAGAAATAATGATTTTCAAGAATGATTTTAGAAATAATGATTTTAGGAATAATGAAAATCAAATTTTCTAAAAATAATGATTTTTCAAAAATTTTACTTTATCTTATGTAATTTTAAAAATAAAAATTTTGAATCCACCTAAAATCTCAATTCCATAAAAAGGGTAGATTCTTATTTCTGTTGTAAAAGTGGTTAATTTCATTCTGTCTATAGGACTTAAACACAGGCAATTTCAATATTTCTTAAGTGATTTGGAAGCTGAATATGGCGATGTTGTTTAAAATGCGGAAGTACATTGGTTGAGCCAAGGAAAGATGCTTCACAGTCTATTTTCTTTGAAGAGCGAAGTTCAACATTTCATGGAATATAATGAGAAATGTATTCACAAGTTCAGTGATGAGAAATGGTTGAGAGACTGCATTTCTTGTCGATATTACAGGTCTTCACAATATTTGAACTACTGCTTACTAGGAAAAGTTCTACTTGTTCATAATCTTTATTACTTTGTGAGGGCTTTCGAGATAAAATTAATCGTGTGGGAAAGTCAGTTGCTAAATAAGAATTTCACTCACTTTCCAAAACTGATGGAGTGTCTGAAGAATTCTACAACATGGAATTCAAATAATTATGTATAATGCATTTAAAAGTTGAAAGAAGAATTCAAAAGCAGATTTTCATGAATATTTCATGTTCATGAGAATTTCGCTATTTTCAGTAGACGTTAATTAGACGTTAATTCAATTAGAATTTATAGATTTACAGTGTGACTCTGCAGTAAAATGCAAGTTTCTTGAAAATTCTACATTAATTGTTTTTTATTCGAAGTACATGACCGAAGACAAGTATCCAGGAATTCATAAACATGCACTCTTCATGTTTTCTAACTTTGGCAGTACCTACATATGTAAACAACATTTTAGTAAAATGAAAATCCTAAAATGAAAAACAAGAATGCAGCTTACAGACATACATTTGGAGAAAACTTTACGAATTGCAACAACACAGATTAAACTGGATATTGAAGCTTTAATCAAGCAAAAACAATGTCAAATTTCACATTAAAATTAAAGTAACTACTATCTCCCTCCAATAATGTAAGTCTTTTTTTAATTGCAAATGCATTTTATAACATCGTTCTGTACAATCATCTTTATACTTTTTTTCATAGTTAGAAATGTTGCAATCGATTTTAATTCAATTTCCATTTGACCTTTTTAGAACCAATTGTATATATATATACAAATGTGCAACAGTATGTCCTTGCTTGGAATCATCTGTAGTCTTGTAAAACAAACTTCCCTTTTTCATGTAAATTTTCTGACTACACTATTTTTTGATAGTGGCCTGCGATCTTTGCGAATTTATTGATGTGGCTCTCAAGTGAGAAAGGTTTAAGACCCCTAGTCTAACCAAACATTTATTGCTTTAAAGTTCTGGAGTCCCGGACTTTTGGAAACTTCTTTTGCCTTTTGTTGCAGTAATTCTGCACTTACAGGAATACTGTTTGCTCTTACAGGACAAAACCAATTGAACATTACACTATCAGTTTCAGAGGCTTCAGTTTTTTCTAAATTTTATAGTCTTAGTAATCTGTAATATTTTTATTTCTTATGTATCATTTAGTACATAGCTTGCTTTCCACTCAGTCCAAATTTCTGCCCTAAATCTTTTAAACTAAGCTTTTCAGTTTCTGTTATATGAATTATATCACCTATATTATATCCCTTACATGAAGTATTAATGTATTTATATAATTAATTCCTTTTCTTTAATTGGGCTTAATGCTTTTAGAGTTTTTCCATAGTTTAAACTTACTGACTTATTTAATCTTTCCTCTGTTTATTAACTGAATATTAATAAACAGAGACCACTTTTATATAACATAACTCTGTTCTGAAATTATTATTTTCCATTTTATCTGACTACCATTCTATTACAGAATTTATTTCAGTTCTCACGTGTGGTTTCAATCTTGTGGATTCTGTTCCCAAGATTTTAAGAGAAAATAGTATTTTTTTTTAACTATTTCATTCCATTTTTATTTAATTTGGTTTTTTCTGAATTTCTTCAATTTGGAAAGCTTTTTTTTAAACAAAAATTTTCTTATAAATTCTTTTTTGCTTTTAGGTAAATTACTTTTGTTTTTGCAACAATTATTTAGAAGTTTTACCAATTCCTAAATTTTACATTTATTAACTAAATACTAATTTGTCCAATAGATTTTGGGGTTTGTCATTTAGAATTTTCTTATATTTACTATTTAATTTTTTACAGTATTATTTGTTTAAAGTCATGTCAAAGCAGATTACATCTTGATTTATTTTTAAAAATTTCTTTTAATTTCGTGAGTTTATACTCATTTAGATAGAATTCAGAAACGTGTGTGATGGAAAATTTTCAGCTGTTCCTATAAAAAGACAAAAGATTCTTCAACTATTTGTTGTATTATTATGTTATTTTATTCAGTTGTTTTGTTTTAGTTTAAATTTTAATATATGTTCTTACTTGTTAGCCTGTTAACCACCAGTTTTGATTTTATCTGTAATATCTTGATATTTAATTAATTTTGCAGCATAACTTTGTGACTTTATAATTTTAATTTTGAAATTTATATATATATACACACACATCGTACATACATACTATTTTCCTGAAGTTTTTTTAATTAAGGCATGTTTTAATCAAACTGGTCTTGCTGAAATAACTCCTCATTTAGGATGATAGATGCATTCAAATTCTTCTTAATTTAGCAATCAACTTTTTCTGAATCAAAAAATATCCTCATATTTTGTTAAAAAAATTAATTAATTACATCATTACAAATTAAAATATGAGCATGTTTTTCATGCTTAAATTTTAAGGTGTTTAAATTTTCTTTATATTAAATTTAACATCACACAATTTCTAAAAATGTATGTATACGTATATACAGAGTGATTCATACTTCTTTTGGGGGTTTCAAAAATTTTTAGTATAACCGTTACAATTACAGCAAAAAAAGTGCGTATTCATGCATAATTTCTTTAAGTTCTCATATAAAGTCCTATCCCTTAATTGCAGATTTATCTGTCATTGGCTATTTTTCTTTGTGGACTGTATACTAAGCCATATTGCAGTAATTGCTAACATCTCACTGGAAGACAACGAAGTTTTCATCTTTCAACTTTAGGGGACCCCTACATTTTCATGAAGGCATCTGAGCTCAGTGCTGAAATTCCTGGTTGTTTGATTCTATGTATTTGATTGATTTTTTCCCCTTACATAGTTGCATCAAAGATTATGGGTTCAAGTGTCCCTTTTCTATATGATTTAGCATGATTGTAAGAAGGAATTGTTCGTGAAGTTGCTAATTACATGTTGGGACATATGTGGCAAGAACTTGAATTCAGGATTGATGTCTACTATGTTTTATTATTGCACTTTATTGTTTATCAAAACTGAAAATTCAATAAATATTTCTAATAACTTAGAAAGTATCAGGAATAAATATTTCTGAAATTTTTAATGGATATTCATGTACTGTAGAGTATCCCCTGAAAAATTTAACTGCAAACTTAGAATCATTGTGTTCTGTTTTTAAATATGTTTATAGCATCATATTTTAACTACTTGGTGATTCATAAAAAGTGGTATTCTAAAGTGTGCTAGTTTTAGGAATATGTTTGTGCTTTATATTGTGATTAAATAATTTCCCCATTCTTATATAGAAGAATGAAGCGAGCAAAATAATAATATGCGATTCTTTCTGCCCTTTTAGAAACAGCTATTAGCTGCTAGAAGCCTTGAATTTAACCTTAATGATCCCATCTTTTGTGAACTGTTTCCTGATTTAGTTGAGGTAAGTATTTTGCCTCTTTAAATATAGTATATGTTGCCTTAGTGTGCAAGTAAATGATAAAATCATACAGTAAATGTGATCACTTGTTTTTATTCCATTTTAAAGTGTGTTTGTTTTTATAATTTATGGGCTAAATTGATGAATTAAACGAAGAGACTAACAGGTCATACGTAAAGAAGGGAATTTAAATGAATGTGTGTGACTTGTTAGCTTACAATAAAAAATATATCATACATATTTATCTTATTTAATTTGACAGTGTTATCTTTACATATAAAAACATTTTACATCCCTGACGGGAGCACAAATGTCACAACTCCAGGATGCCAGTGATCTTCTTCTTTCCGTTTTTTTTTTTTTTTTCTTTTTAGCCTTTTTCTTTCATTTCGTTTTTGGAAGTTGAGGTTCAGCGTCAGAAAATGTTGTGAGATCCCTTGTGTTCTATTTTCCCATGGAGGAAAAAATGCTGTGCATGGAGACATAAGCTTGGAAAGGAGAAGCCTGATAGTTGAAGAGTAAGGTACTGCTCCAACATGCTGCTTAAACATTTGCTTAGTGGGAGACATCTCCAATTTCAAATTAGTGTCATTAGGTGGCCTCTTGTCCTTAGTATCAATGGCTTGCAGATAAATGAATCAGAGTTCTTGAATATGAAAAAACTGTATGTGTAGGGCTTCAGTGAACAAATAACCCTGATGTAAAATCTGTGTCCTCTTGTTGGACTCCATTTCCGCGAAGTCCGAATCTTCCTTAATTTTCAAATATGCTTATATAAATTTCTTTAATTGAAAATGTTTCGTCAGTTAGAAAAGTCAAAGCAAATGTAAATATAAATAAAGAATTAAAAAACTGGAATTTTGATTATTAAGAATTCAGTGTCCGATTTGCAAAACCTTTTGACTTTTCATCATATACAAGCAGAACTGTGAAGTCGGTAGGGAAAATGACCGACTTAAAATCCGATGAAGGAATTGGAGTTTGTAGGGAAAACTCCCAACTTCCTCTTGTATATGTAAACATACACACATATCTTATAACTTATTTTTTTAAACATAAAAGAAGTAATAGATGCTATAGAAAATAAATTGATGACATAGCAGATTATTTATATTAATTTATCATTTATTATGAAATAGGAAAACTGGTATTAGTATTTTCTAAGAAACAATATAGCTTCAGCTAGATCTTTGTTACAGGACCGTAGATCTGATTTGATAAACTTCAGAGCCAAGAAGAGTCTTTCCACACTAACTTGAGTAGAAGGAAGAGCTATTACTGTTAGGGCTACTTCTTTTAGATTTTTGTGAGTTCTGAAAGAGGTGTCTTGCAAGAGTAATCATATTTCTCTATTTCTTCAAAGGCTGTGTAGAAATCTTGTTTGTATTTTTTTCATTTTTATATCTAAAGACTCTCTTTATTTTCATTCGCTTTGCCTTAGCCTTTTCAATATTATCCAAGTATTTCTCAAAATCTAACTCATTTCTGGAAGAAGATGATAAAGACTCAGTTGCAATGTCTGCAGTGTGACTGTCCATTCCAGGTAAACAACCTGGCTGCATAGACATTTTCATAGTTTTCCCCCATCTGTAACACAAATACGAGCCAGTTTCTCTTAGTACCTCCATTAAGGCATTCCCTTCCCTTAGGCAGATAGCCCTCCTGTGCTAACCCTGATGTTAGTGCAATGGTTTATATACCTGACCTTTTTCAGGTGTAAAAGATTTAAAATCAAATGATAAACTGAGTTTTATCTCATTATCAAAGAGAACCCAGGTTATAGATTTCTGATGTTCTTTATACCAATTCAAGTGAGGCATTCATAAGTATGAAATCATTGAAATACATAGCATTTTAGCACCAGCTGCATGTTCTTATACCTTGCCATGTTAATCCTATATTAGCATCTTGTTGCATTTTCGCTCTTGCCGTGCATTCCTTTTTTATGAGGTTTTTGAATTCTCTATGTTAATTTAAAAATAAATTCATAGCTTTTTTTGTGTGAATATGATGTTAACAATCTTTAATTTACCATATAATGAGGTGTGAGGTGGATGCCAATTTTTTTTTTTTTTTTTTCAAAAAAGAGATCATTTATCTGACAAACGAGTATATGAAAATGCCCATAACATGAAACTATATTAACAACAAAACCATTTGGATGTGTAATGTTAAAAATTGCAAAAAGAGTAAGAACATCCGTGTTGGAAATCGGTTTAGTGGTTTCAGAATATTGTTCGTCACTATATGTATTCTTGAGCAAAGGAGTTGACATCCATGAAATGGTGTAACGAACAGCTTAATATGTGTGAAAGTGCTGCAGTTGACTAGAACAGTTACAGGTGATAAAATAATAGTGATAAGGATTCTTAAAAATATTCTTAGAAAATGACATGTGCGTATTGTTTAGTTTTACATTCGGGCTTCATGAGCTTGGTGAAATTATAGCTGAGATCTTCACGAAAATCTAAAATCACCAAATATGGTTGGGGTCACTATAATAAAGAAATAACAATATTATAAATGATACTACATACCATAAAAAGATTGGTTTGATTTCTTAAATATATATATCAAACTTTCAGTTGTAGATGTTTGCAGAGAAATATTCTTGGTAGTGCTTACCACACCTTTGTATAACATCATGCCATTATTTGTATTAAAGAAATGTTGTATTAAATTAGATTAATCATTTCTTTATTAAAAAGATTAGCCTGAATGGTTACTTAATCACTTGAGTGTCAGGATTGCCTCAATCCAGTCATGAGATATTTTGTCATTTAGTATATTCTGGCAACCATCACTTGGCTTATGCTTTCTTATTTTCTTTAAATGATGTATAAATATGGTCTTAATGGAAATTTATGAAAATAAAGATTTAAACAGGGAAATTATTGTAGAAAAGCTGGTTTGTAAAATAGGAAAAATTACATCTATCATAATTTCAGAATGAGAAATGTTTTTAAAAAAATTATAAAATTCTAGTTTGAATGTCATCCTAAAAGCATAGAGGTTTTGTTTGACTGTCAACAAAGTTTAATAAGATTGAATATTTTACTAACTTTATTCGGAAACCATGGCTGTACAAATACACTTTTAATTAATCATCATTTCATTATTATTATCTCAAGCCAAATTAATTCAGGCCTTTTGTTTAATAAATAATAATAGATATCCTTTCTTAATTCTATATTTATATATAGATTGTTTCTTTAAATTGAAGAAATTGTTTCTTCATATAAAAATACTGCTTCTTTTAATGAGTACACAGCAAACAGTAAAAACTTTGTCATGAAAAATTACTTAGAATTGTTAGAAACTGTTCATTTTTAAATTGAATTTTAGTGTTTATTTCACTGAAAGTATTTGGTAAAATATTTCTAATAAATGTTTTTCAGGAACTGAAAAAAGATGAAAGATTACTGATTTTTATTTTTTAAGTGTTTTTAGTTTAATAATTATCAGTAATGAATGTGGTAACAGTAGTAGCAAGAGCTGTATCTTTCGTTTAATTAGAATTTGAAATATTTCATTTATTGCTCATTTCATATTTTTAAAATGTATCACCATCTGAAAAATCTTCAGTTGCAAGTTGTAAGTAGAATCATGATGAAAACGAGTAATCAGTTAAAATGCAGATTTTTTGTTAATCATATACTTAAATGTTTAAAATTTGTTTACTTGACAGAAGTTATTACAAGCATTTATATTTTGCTTTTAAAAAGTAAAAGAAAATTTTTTTAATATGTTTTGTATAATTTTAGGAATCAAGGCGAAAAATTAATGAGCGCCAACTTTTGAGCACTGCCAGAAATATTGAAAGTAATACAGATTCAAGCACAGAAGTACACAATTCCCAATTTCAAAAGGGTCAAGCTTTGCTAAGTGCACTCACAAATGTTGCTGTTATTGTTGGATTTGCTGCTTTTGCATACACAGTGAGATATGTTCTTATGAGTATTATCAAATGATCCTGTTTTAATTGTTTTTGAATGAGTACTGTAAATGGAAAGGATACACTGGTTTATTAAAAGTTTGGGCCAAAAGATGCATATTATTTTGAATTATGATTCTCAAATATGAAAACAACAAAATCTATTTTAATAGCTGTTATTTTTATTGTTCTAAAAATTATTATATCTTTTTGTAATTAATTTTAATTAAATATCCTCTGTCAGCTCTAAATTTTCCTCCATTTTTCGGTTCAGCCATCGTGAATAAACTTGCAAATTTGTAAGTAGTTGTGCTGTAAGTAAGGGCAACATTTAGTAATATTTCTATTTTGTACATATATAGTATACATGCCACCAGATTTGATACAAGTTGATTATCCTGTTTTAAATGTATAAATGTAATATAGTTATCTTAAATGTGTTGTATGTCCTTTATATTACAAAGTGAGAATTTGTTTCATGATAATTTTTGTTTCAAATTTGTACTGATGTTTACTGGGAGAAAAGGTTACATGTTTCAAAAAAGATTGTCAAGAAGACAAAATAAATTAAGAATTTATTGATAAGTTTTTGTTTCATTTATTTTTAATATATACCTTTATGCTGTTGATTTAAAATACAGTAAAATGTTTCATTTAGTGTTCACATTATTCACTAATTTTATTTTAAAACCATAATATGAAAAAAAAAATTTTAATTTTTCATAAAATAAAGTGTTTTCTTATTTTTAATTGAAGGTTTGTGATATGTAATACCACCATGACTTAGTTCTGGCTTAACAATATTAGAAGCAAAAAATTCAGACCCAGAATAAAATGAACTGTTTATAAACTGATCCAGTAAATAGATCATAACTTCTGACTAAATCAACTCTATCTGATGGTTCCCTTGTATCTCCCAGACTTCTTACCAGCATACTAAAAAATACAGACATATTAGAACATATCAGAAAAGCTGTAAGTCAGGTGCTGAAGATCTGGTGTGTAGTTTATTTAATGTGAATGTGCAGAGTATTCAGAAAATGTTATATGAATTAAATATCTCTTGACAAACTATTGGTCTTAGATACTTAAACTTTAGTTTAAGAAATTAATAAAATGAGGTAGGCTTTCAGGACATAAGAACTCTATTCATGTGGCACCTTTTACTATATAACTATAAATTATAACAATATTTTACTATAAAACTTAAAATTGTAAATACCCATTGAAAAATTTTATACTTTTTAAGTGCACATAAAGATTTAAAGGGCCCTTTACGGAGAAAAAAGCTCAGTAGAAGGTTTTTTGTAGTCTCAGTAATCATGCAATAAAAAATCTGTCCTCATGCATAGGTATCCATAATTAAATTTTAGGTTAGGCACTATATATATATATATTGATAACAACAAGCTCTGCAAATTTTTTCATGTATAACTTTCTAAAATATAGTTTTTTGAATCAGTGAAAGATTTGTATTAATAATGAAGAATCTAATTATGTATATAAGTTCTTTAGATTATGAAAAAAGTGTCCTCCACATGAACATGTGCACCTTAAAGCTTGAGTTTTGAATTCTGAAAAAATTTTGTATTTATATCATACAGCTGTATACGCCCACGTAATGTCCGCACTTTTTTACTAAAATTACATCACTAACATGCAGGTGCGGACATCACATGGATCATTCAAATGTCGTGTTTTTTCTTGGGAATAAATTTCATTTCAAACAGCTAAGTTCTAAGTGGAAGAAAATGGCATAAGTAATAAAAGTATCAAATTTTAAGTTATTTAATAGTTACCTAAAATTTACAAACTTAACTTTTTCACATCCACATATATAATATAAATTACCCCATTAACATTATCAACACTCGGCACGTATTAGTTCACACAGGAACATAGTATAGAGGCACAAATTAACCAACATTTGCAAATTAAAAAAAATGTTGGCTCTTTTAATATCTTGCACACATTATTCTTAACAAAATCTTTTCTGATACGCTGTATGAAAATTTTGGTTGTTATGTCTGCGTGTGTGAATGTAAAATATTTCTGCTGCAAACAGTAGCATTAAATATATATAAGATAGCAGTGCAGGCACATAGAGAATCAGTGAGCAGTATTATTTCTAATTTCAAGTTACCGCAGGAGAAAAAAAAAAAAAGCATTGGGAACAATACTCAGTATATGAGTGCAAATAAATTAAACTTTTTTTATCTCACCTTTATTCCGCCCTTGCAAATCATTTCCAATTGCATCAGCACATACTAATTGTTAACACAATTAAATATAAAAATTCAAATTCTAAGCAGCTTTTAAAAACTTATCACAAACAATTTTCCAACACATACATAGTACCAGTATTTTTGTTCCTTTTTCCATGTATTCGTTATCATCATTCCTTTCTTCACTCACATCTTCATCAGTTTCTTCATTCACATCATCTTTCTTGTTTTCCTCATTCACGTTATCCTACCAAAGAAGATCATCTTCTGTTCCATCCAAAGCATTTGATATGTCAGTTACTTTAAAACTTTTCACAATCACATCATCGGATATGCTTTTCTACGCAGCAATAATCCACGCACACACTTCCGAGATGAATGCCTTTCTCGAACGTTCAGCTGCTGTGGTTCCCCTGCCCTGGAAGTCATCCAATTACGGTAGCTTCGTTTGAACGCCATTTTAAATGGCTTGTTTATGCAAACATTAAGTGGCTGAAGAATGGAAGTAAGACTTCCTGAAATCACAGCAAGATCAGTTCTTGAGGTTTCAAGATTTTGTTTCACTGTGTCTGTGAGATGCCCTTTGAAGCTGTCCAACAAGAGAAGAGAAGGTAGCTGCAACAGAGCTCCAGGTTGTTTATACTACACGCTCACAACCTGAACAAAAGTGTCTGCCATCCATCCACCTTTTCTCTTGAACTCTTACCACAATTCCTGGTGGCAGTTTTTCTTTTGGCATTGTTTTTCGCTTAAAAAGCACATACGGCAAAGTTTTTTGGCACCGGCAGTAACTACTAACATAACAGTTGCTCTTTGTTTTTCATATCTGCATGTGCATAATGGTACAAATCCCCTTGCATTCCGTACATTTACGGTGTAATTGTCTAGAGCATCAAAATAAATTGCCGTCTGATTGGCATCCGCAATTAGTGAAGCGAAATAATGATTCGCGATAATGAAGCAATGAAAGGACAACTTATCTTCATAGTCACTGGGCATTTTTTGACATACTGTTGTACAACGCCGAAACGAAAATTTATTTAGTTTCATCATTTGCCGCAACTAGCCTTCATTCATCTTGAATTGCGATGTAGGAATGTCTTCTCATGCCGCAGCAAGCACTATTATTTAGTACATTTCCTGTGTTACTGCGTACCCTTGAGCATTCATATCACGAACACATGCAACTACTTTTTTTCTAAATTCGGAAACTTGCATTTTGAACCATGAAACACACGTCTTGTTTTGTTCATTAGTGTGAGTTGATCACGCTGTTTGCTCCAATAGCGCACACACTTTTCATCCACCTTATATACTCTTGCTGCTGCTGAGTCAGAGAACTGAAAGTCATAGAATTTGCTTTTCCATTTTCCTGCACAAAGTCTATGACTTTCAGTTTAAAAGTCGCTGTATTTTCCCATTTTAGGCACACCACTTGCTAACTACCACGAATTCCAAATGATACTATGAATGAAAAGAGTAAGCTTGAAGTATGCGAGTGCTCCAAGGAGGAAGGAGGGGAAAGTAATTTCATTACAAAACAGCATTTCCTGCAAGCCAGTGTGGTGAAAACCTGTTTAGACTACCTTCATTTATTATCTCGTCTGCCGAGTGGATTGCTGGCGCCGATGTTATGGCTGAACAGCTGCACCAGAATGCAAGGAGTCTGCTTTTCATCCTGGTGCCAACCAAAGACAAAACAAATGCATATTCTTCCTTTAAAGATGTTTATTGACTAATGTTGTTGACTGAAGGGGAAAAGGCGATGTTAAAAATAATATATTTTAAAGTAAGACATTCTTTAGTTTTGGAGATGCGGACTTTGTACGGGGTCACTTTTGTTTTTACGTAAATTTTATCTGCAAAGTTGGGGTGCGAACATTACACGAGCATATACAGTAGCTGAAATACCTGGTATTGCCTGGGCTTTATGCAAAGTGCAGAGGCTTCATTTATGAGGATGGGAAGTTGAAAGATTTTTCGAAATCCGAGGTAGACAGTGGCCTCTTAGTAACTGTAGTTCAAAGTAAATTATGCAAAATTTACCAAGCGTAAATAAAACTGGAGATTTTATTTAGATAGAGAACAAACATTATTTTTATCCCAAAGCTTACGGATACACTATGTTTTTTGTTTCTCTGTCTGGAGTATAATAAACAAACTATTTGGTGTATCGTCTCTTGAGCAGGCCATGCATTACTGTCTATGGGAAAACTATGGCATTTCCAAGTTAATACCTGCCATACAAAGTGATTCCACGTGCCTTGTTGATATTCATAGCAAATGCAAGCCACATAGGGAAACTCCAGTTGCTTGAAATTAAAGGGCATATTTGAATCATTGGGTATCAGTAAAGTGAGCTTGTGTGGCAATATTGGGGAGGGTTCATCAAGAGCATTTAAAAATTCTGTTAGATAACGCACAGCTTGATCTGTATCTATTACAGAATCAATGGATTAAAAAAAGTGACAGTGTTGCCAGGAAGCACTTTCTGGATAATCTTGTTAACATATTTAATGCTGTTGTTTTTTGGCACTAAACTGGTCTCTTCATGTAACCATCAATGTTGAGTTGCAATTTTCTGATATATCTGGAAATGCTTTAGCTATTAAATCGTCACGTGACTTAACTATTGCAGATACATGAGAAAACTATTTCTTTTCTTTGGTCACATTTTTGTGGGTATGAATTGATACCTAGTTTACATAACGTAACTACAGAAAAATATAAAGAAAGGAAACAAAATAAGAAAAAGACTACAAATCAGCACTTAAAAATACTAAAAATTAACAAAACTTAGCTGGGTACTTTTCCGTTTCGCCGGCGCAAACCTCGCCATTTCCCTTTCTCCGGCGCAAATCTCGCCAAGCAGACTTTATTGGCGACAACACACAGTATACACATAAAAAAATGTTAACAAATGTTAATTCTAAGAATTTTTTATTATTTTTTTATTTTGGAGCATAAATATTTTATATCGTTTAGAATTTTTTCAAATGGGTCTTTTGTGTCCTTTCGCCACATAAATTCGGCGAGGTAACTTTTCGATGATGCGAGCAGTTCCTCTGTGTTTCTTATTCCGCCATTTTGCTTCCCCATAGTCTTTCAATTTTTGCGTGTGCGTCAAAGTTTCCGATCTACAAAATGATTCTCTTCTCTTCCTAATATTTTTCAGTGCAATATTATTTCCATAAATCAGAATTACATTGTAGTTCCTTTTTCGATGTTTTTATTTATTGCCTCTAATATAATGCTCATGGATCGGCTTGGCACCATCACAAAGAAACATTCGTTTGTTTCACGACAAACTCCAACAAAGATTCATTGTTGTGGTAAAATCCGTCCCGCGTTGTTTTTGCT